ATTAGATATTAGAGGAAATACTGTGAATTTTTTTTAATATTTACTAAATTAGCAAGGACTCTGCTCAACATAATTTGGTAAAAATATTTTAAAAAGGACAAACAATTAAAGGGGGGAGTGAATAATTCTGACTTCAACGGTGTATATATATATGCACAAGTGCATCTGATTAACGTTTTCTATTTATTTTTAAACGAACAAGGAAATTATTCATGGTTTTTTTGGTCCTTCATAAGAAAAGGTTTTGGCAGCCGCAGGTTATAGCAAAGCAAAAAGCGTAGTTTATTAAAATAACCCCCACCCCCACCGCAGTCTTACTGAAGAGACAGTGTTATACCCCTCAGTGCACATACTCTCACATTCCTGCCGGATTCCAGGAAAGATTCTCCTCTGAAAAGATCTTGCTGTGGTTTTCTGGAACTGACCAGGAGTGCTACAATGCAGTGGTGGATCTGGGAATTTATAAAGGCAGGGGCCAGGGTTTACAGAGGGGGGCCAAGTTATTCAGTTGGTGCTGGAACTATCGATTTCGCCATGAAGCGCACCATTAATGTTGACATGGCAACTCAAAATGTTTATTTAATATAACGCATATAACAGCTATGAGCAGAACCCCAGTAAATAAATCTCGTAACTCGAGATTAACGTAATGTCGAGAGGATCACGTGTTTATGATTGATCACAGCTGGTCCCGCATTATTCAATTCATAATTCTCCAATCAGACGATTCCTAAGCCACTATAAACACCCTCAGCTCCATATCACAGCCATCTTCATTTTGAAGAATCCCCCCTTCCACCCCTGCTCCTCCTCCTTTCCTAGATGGGTGGCACGGTGGCCCAGTGGTTAACACTGTTGCCTCACAGCAAGAACATCACTGGTTCTAGTCCTTACCAAGCCAGCTAATATTTCTGTGCAGAGTTTGCACGTTCTCCCCGTGCTCATGTGGGTTTCCCCCGGTTTCCTCCCATTGTTCAAAAACATGCAGCTTAAGTTAATCGACTAATCCAAATCAGCACATAGACATGCTGCTAGTCAGTAGTTATCTCTAAGAGGGATCACTATCTGTTCATTAGCTAATACAGCAGGGGAGTTCTCCAGATCTACCTGAGCTTAAACTCCCCTTTAGCCTTGCAAACAGGAGGGAGCCCCGGGCTCGAGGATCTTATGAGCTCAGGGCTCTCTCCCAGGACAGCATGCCAAACACGCTTTATCATCAATCATCAGCTGAGTGTCAACTCTAGAAGTCCATTTTGAAACATTTGTCAGAGAAACGAGCCGGCTTTGAATCAGTTTTACCTCCTGTTTCAGAACAAGTCAGCTGATCTTCAGGGACGAAAGCACTTATGCAAGAAAAACAGCTGAAATAATAAACAACATCCGGCGTTCGACACAAAATAAAGCACATCTTCATGTATGAGCTTTGATATAAATGAGCAGTCACTTAGAGGAGAGGCAGTACAGGGGCCAGCTGGATTTAAACGGGGGCCGGTGCCCCTGTGGCCCCACCCCTAGATGCGGCCCTGCTACAGCATGCAGGAAAGAAAGTCTCATAAATTAAAACTTCATTAATTTATGCAACAGCCTTACATTTATAAGGGAAACATGAAGGCGATCATACACAAAAAGACCCCAGCCTATAAGGCTAGACGTTTTCTTTCCCTTATTGATTTATTTGTTTGGTGCATGTACTCATGTGCGATCAGAAAACTAGTGTCCGCCTCTCCCAACACAATCCCACGACAATTCGTACCTTTTTGATTTAGTGGCTAATTCGTATGATATCGTACGATGTAATTCGTACAATTTAGTACGATTTGCTCATCCCCCAATGACGGTTGGGTTTAGGGGTGGGGCTAGGTGCCACGCCTTCTTTTTAAAATCGTACAATTTCGTACGACTGAACTCGTACGCATTCGTACTTATTAGCCACTACACTGACAAACGTAAAATACTTACGTTTTCTCGTGAGATCAGGCGCGCTTCTCCCCAGCTGGCCCTCTTTGGCCCAAAGTATTCGGCAGGCCAAAAAAGGTCGGCTGCTAGCCCCAAGAAAGCCCCGATTTGGCCTGATTAGGCCCTGGAAGTTACAGTGGAAACACGACTGGCCTTGGCTCGCTTGCTTTAGGCGTGATAGTGGAAATGCAGCTAATGTGTCCGGCTTTGACCTTGGCCAGTACCAAACCGTTTCAGGCCCCGTTTACACTAGTGCGTTTTAGTTTTAAAACGGCGTTGTAGAATGAAAACGATCCGCGTCCACACTCGCGTTTTACCCAGCGTTTCTGAACTGCTCTCCGTCCACACCAAAACGCTGAAAACGCACATCACGTGACCACACACACACTCACGGGCAAGCGCTCCAGCATTTCTACCCAGATGAGAGCTCTGCTTGTCGGACTGCTCATCACGCATCTCCCGCTGGATCTAATCTCACTATATTTGCTAAACGTGATATTTCATTCATGTTGTTGTCTTTATCTAACGACATATTCCCTGACTTTGGTCATTGGAATCTATTAAGTTACTTGTTCACGGGTAACATGTTTTGGTTAAGCGCAAAGATAAGTTAATGATTAATCCAGGTACATTGACTGATCGCTTGCCCTTATTTCCTACAATGTATAAACTTATTGTATGTTATACTTTTATAATTGTCAATTATTAAAACTTATATTCAGTAAAAGAGAGGCTGTGTTTCGTATTTTCTCTGAAATTGAAAGGAGGCGGTTGTTATCGGCTCCGTTTTGTTATAAATATCCACACAGTGAAGATGACGCTCATTTATGCAGCACGACGCCTCAACATTTCTGCTGTCTGTTAAGTTGCTAATATTAAAATGAAAATAGGCAGTTCCTTAAATCATGTTTACATTTTATTGTTGAGAAAGTGAAACAACGTAGCCAGGGTGATGTGAATGAAGTTATAAAGTACACTGTTCCCTTTGAAGATTTACCCGTGTCCTCTGTATGTTTTCCATATCAAACTGAGAAGGGGGAGACTGCAGCCTTGATCAACCTTGCGAAGTTTAAACTTACAAGAAGAGGATGCGAGACTGAACTGTGTGTGTTAGGCTACTTAATATTCAGGAAAAGCCCCAATCAGATAGGCGAACGTTTGCAGCCCCGCCTCCGTTTTCAGATGTATCCGTCTTTCCCCATCCACACTGAGACGGAGCAGCAGCGTTTCAGAATGAAAACGGCCTCTCCAGCGTTTTCAAAAAGCTCCGTTTTCGGCGCCCGAGAACTCCGGCGTAGTGTGGACGGTTGGCGTAACCGTAGCAAAACTTATGCGTTTTCAAACTAAAACGCACTAGTGTAAACGGGGCCTCAATCTGCATTCTACTAAACATGCTGTTTATCAGG